AATTACTAAACATTCCGGAATATTTACTTCCCTATTTCGGTTGCCGATAGTTATACCTTTGATAAACGATAAAGGTAATAAACAATAAAAGTTATAACCGGTTCTATTGTTATAAATGTATTTTGAAACAGAAAATATGACATATTATTACTTGCATGAGCATTAATTCAATACAAAGAAAAAAATTAAAAATGTAAAAATTTTAAAAAAATTAAAAAAATTGAACTAATAAAGAGGTTAGTTTAATCTTTGAGTTAATCAGAAAAAAACATCATGTGATCTTTCATCTTATAACGAATTAACATCAATTATGAAAAGAATATAATGTATAATAATTTAAACCATTCAGGATATGTAATATCCTTCAAAATGCTTCCCATATTTATTCATACGACATCAAACGACACAAACTTCCCTCTCTGTTTCTTGTCATTTTCTTAATCACTTTATATCACAATTGCATCAATGAAAAACATTTGCAATAAATTGAAATTCATTTCGAAAAATGGGTAAAAACTTTTAATTTCATTAAACAAGTTTTTGATTAATTAAATCGTTAGATGTGCTATCATAGGAATAATAAGGAGTGATAAGTGCAAGCATTGAAAGAAATTAACAGAATTGAAGTGACTTCAATTGAAGATTGATTATTTAATTAATTTGAAAATGAAAAAGAGGAAAGAAAAGGAACAAAATGATTGATAAATTAGAAGAAAGAAAAAATAAAGAAATAGAATATGACAGAAGTTTTTTTCATACAATCAAAAGAGAAAAATATTTCTTTCATTCAATTTTTATTAATTTTTAAATATTTGATATTAAATTTGCAAACCATTTTATATATTAAGGAAATTGAATGTAAAGAATGGATCAGCGTAAAATTTCGTGAACGTGAATGTAACGAACATGCAGAGAACGTGTACATACTGGACATATCGAGAACGTGAACGTAACGGACATGTCGAGAATGTTGACAACGGATATGTCGAGAATGTGAAGGCAATGGATATGTAGGATGTTAAATTTCGTGAACGTGAACGTGATAGACATGTCGAGAACGTGAATGTAATGAAAATACAAAGATATTGCATTTCGCGAATGTGAACATAACGGACATTTCGAAAACGTGAACGTAACAGACATGTCAAGAACGTTGACAAAGGACATAGCGAGAATGTAAATGCGACGGATATGTAGGAGAGTTAAATTTCGTGAACGTGAACTGAAGACATGTCGAGAACATGAATGTAATGAATATGCAAGAGTATTAATTACATTTCGGAAACGTGAATGTGACGGATACGTAAGAGTACTGCATTTCGGGAACGTGAATGTGACGGATACGTAAGAGTGTTATATTTCAAAGAACGTAAACATAATGAACATACGAAGTAATCGATTTGAAGGCACTTCTGATGAAGACAAAATGATGAAAGAAGTACTTTTGAAAAAAACTCGAAGAATCAACGATGCAAAACCCAAACATTTCTCGCAATATCTATCATTGTTTGCACTTTCCTAACTTACATTTCATGTTGTTGTTTGCACGCACACACACACACACACACACACACACACACACACACACACACACACACATACACAAACATACACACACATACACACACAGACGGACAGACACACACACACATAGACGGACAGACAGACAGACAGACAGACAGACACACACACAGACACACTCACAAACAACGCATGGAAGAGGTTTTTCATTGGAGTATTGAATGCATCTTGCAAATAATAGAGTGCAATAAGGGAACGGAATGCAATGAGTGACATGCATATATAGCATGCACTCAAGCAGAATGACATTGAGAAATCGCGAAAATCCCGATTATAATCGGAGGAATTAAAGGGAAACGAAAATTCATCATAACCATTTGTATGAACGATCATCTATCTGGAAGATATGAGAGTTCTGGAAGTTTTTGTTATGAAAAAAAAAAAAAAATCAATACTTTTAGCTTTAATTAAAATACCAAATGTATTTTAATGATCCAATAAATGTTATGTATGAGAGGATTGATAATTAATTTTGAGAACATTATCCAATACGATTAAATAATCTTCATAACTGACCGGAATGACTAACAGGAAAGATAAAAATAACCGGAATACTAAATACTAAATATCCTTTCAGAATACTAAATATACTTTCATATTCTATTATGCTCATTTTGTAAATGTTATAAATGTTCAGAGTGTAATGATTGATTAGTTGGATTAAACTTGAAAAAAAAAAAACCGAAATTTTAGAAATAAATGTAACGTAACTTAACTTTAACAATAAATGACATTCATCATATTTCCGGGTCAACAAGGTTTTAGTCTAACAGTGTTAACCTGATTTTATAATTCGGAAACAGGAAACAGTTGCAGGAGTTAGGGAGATGTTTTGTGATAAGATCTGTTATAGAATTTATTATAACTCAGAAAATTGAACTTCAGAAAAAACCATAAACATCGCAAAAAGTCATTAGTAAACAATCACAAATTCATGAAACGACCAATATGTTACAGCAAAACCTTTACTCCTCCATTCATTTCTAACAAGTCAAAAACTTTTACCTGTCCAAATTCATGGTACTTGAAATGAATACACTTATCTCCGATTATCACTTGACACTTTAAAATTATGCAAATCTCCAGTACTATTTTCGAAGTGAAGCGTAATTGTTAGTACCAAAAAGTTAAAGAAGAAACGGTATATATTCAAAAAATTTTAATGCTACAAATAAACAAACAAATATTAATTAAATAACGAAAGAAACAAAATCATTGAAATTAAGGAATAAAGCCAGTTGTACAATGCAACGATACGTAAGCAATAAGGAATGGAAGAGGAAATAAAAAAAAAAAAAAGGAAGGAACATTCAGATTAACAAAATAGTTTGAAATGATCCAATTGAAAATTGAAATTAATCTTGGTTTACTAACAGCAAGTAACAGCTAATAAATGCATCAGAGTTACAAGCATCCCAAGGATTTTTTTTTTCTGGAGATTTGTAGCATATATATTTTCAGATTTACAGAATTATAAGGCTTGCATTTTGCGCCAAAGCGCAATTATGTCAAGCAGAGATACAGCCATAATTGCATTAACAACACATATCTCTCTACTCATTCATTCCATGCCATGATGGAAGGAATTCCCGTAGAAACAAATGAAAAAAAAGAGCCTATTTACTATAGTGCAAGCGCAAATTAATTGTATCATCTTCACAACCATCATGTGAATTCTCAAAAATTTTCAGCAAAACCTTGAGCACTTACATATAGGACAAAGAGAGATGAATATAATTGAACGGAACCGATAAAGCTAACAGATCATCGCCCAAAAGCGGTTCTTTGAAGAAAAAACAAAAAGCAAAGATAACCTAAAAATACAGGAAGATATTAATACATATTTTAACATGAACATTTCTGTCTAGGCTTAGGCTCCGATAATGAAAATTCATGCCTAAGGTTAAAATGTTTGCTAGTTACAATTTGTTACCTGTACCGACAAGAAAAAATGGAAAATGCTGCAGGTGACAAATTTTCCTTTGTACAAACTTACGGAAAATTTACAGGAGAATGAAATACTACAATAAATAATAGTG